GGGCCAAAACAGAAGTCCTGGCACGAGGCGAAACAAGAAGAGCAAGGGAATTCCTGGAAGCGTGGTTCTCAACACAAGACTCGATCAACATGCATATCGAAATTGACCCAGTTTACCAACCCCTCCGACGGAGAGAACTTAGGGAAATTATGAGACGCCGCTTGAATAGGAACAACCCAAGCGACGACCTCCGCCACGGGGAAATGGGTAGAGATCACGGGACACAGATCGAAGCCGTCACTTTCGAAATGTCACCTGCACGCCGATCACGGGTCGACAATTCAATCAGCGAGATTACACTCGACATCTCGACGCACTGATGATGCCGTCTCGCATGACGGTGAAACGTTTGCAAACCAATTTCGCAGCTCGGCGAACAAATGAGCAACTGAATTATCAACCCGAGCTACCAGTTTTCCAAAACATTTTAAATAATCACGGGCGTTCAACGCTCCGCACTGCTCGCCGTTGGGAAGACTACGCTTGCAGACAAGCCTCTACAAGGCAACAGCTCTTCTTCCTTCATGAATGCCTGAGAAGGGACATTGTTCCCGCAGTGTTAGCTACAAACCGCCGATTAATCATCCACAAGCGTGGGAAGCCGCTCGGCAATTTGGCAGGCGTATGCTACGGCTGATGATCACCGACGCTCACAATCGACTCAAGAAATATGAACGATGTCTGGACGAACATCGGTCTACCTGTCTTCAAATTATCGGAGAACAACTAACAGAACAACTTGACGCTGCAATAGAACGTCGGGCAACAAACACTAGGACAAAGAAACATACTGCACTTCTCGATAAGTTATCAAAACTGACCTGTGCTAAAGACAGAACTACTAGTGATAGCTGGATCAGAAATTTGTCTAAACGACAAATTAACGAATCGGAACAGCAAGTCCTCATCAAGGGACTAAACTATAACTTCAAAGATGCAGCAACTACAGATTTTCTGGCAGCATTCGAAAGCGCTCTACAATCCAATGGAATTGAGGAAGAGACTCAAAAGCAAATAAGACACACTATTGTTCCAGCTATAATGCGCAACAGGCAGTACAATACCCTAAGCAGACAAGAAAAGCAGGCAATAAAATCCTTGAAGTCTGACGAAACGATCATCATCCTGCCGGCAGACAAAGGACGGATGACTGTTATAATGGATAAAGAGGATTACACTGAGAAAGCTTTACGTCTCTTGAACGACACAACGACCTACAAGTGCATTGACACCGATCCAACCTCACAGCTGGCAAACAAATTAAACAAAACGTTGAAACAACTTCAAGAAAAGAATCAAATCACGGAGGAGAGCGAACGAATGAGAGCCCGTGACTCGAGCATCGCGCAATTCTATGGACTCCCAAAGGTACACAAAGATGATGCACCATTACGACCGATCGTGTCACTACCAGGAACACCCACCTACAACTTGGCGAAAGAAATGTGGAGACGCCTCAAACATCTGACCTGTGGATCGCAATATTCCATTAATAATGCCCAGCAATTTCTACAAAAGCTCAAAAACCTGCGAATAGATGATGATGAAACAATGATATCTTTCGACGTGACTGCCCTCTTTACGTCTGTAAACTTACAAATGGCAACAACAGTCATCACAGAACGCCTGAACAGCAGTGAACAACCAATCGGGAACCTAACGACCGAAAACGTATGCAAACTACTGCAGTTGTGTCTGTCAACCTACTTCTCTTTCAACGGGAAGATCTACGAGCAATTGAAAGGCGCACCAATGGGATCACCTATATCGGGACTCATCGCGGAGATGGTAATGCAGAAATTGGAGGGAGATGTACTCCCACTCATTAATCCGAAACTGTGGGTCCGATATGTTGACGACACTTTGTGATCATCAAACGCAATCAAGTTACAGTCGCACAGCAGCTATTGAACAACGCCATTGAAGACATCCGGTTTACAATGGAAATGGAGAAGGAAAACCAACTGCCTTTCCTGGATGTCTTGGTAACCAGAACCATGGAAGGGAGGCTGCAAACATCAGTTTACAGAAAATGGACACATACGGACCAAATTCTGAATTTTAACAGTAACCATCCGAAATGCCACAAAGTAAGCTGTGTGCGGACACTATTTGGTAGAGTGCAAACACACTGCAGTACCACGGAGGCAAAGCAACAAGAAGAGAAGCATCTATTTAAATGTTTCCAACTCAACGGATATCCACGAAGCTTCATCCGAAGGTGTCTGAACCACAACAAACCAAACAGACAGTCTACACCAACGACGGAGAGACGCATTGTTTTACCTTATATGAAGAATATATCCGAAATGGCAGCAAGACTATTCAAACAACATCACTTCATCGTAGCACACAAACCAACTGCTACACTGAGAAAAACTCTGTCGAAACCGAAAGAGAAACTGGAAGCTCATGAGCAAAGCAATGTTGTATATAGACTACTTTGTAGAAATTGCGAACAGGACTATGTTGGCCAAACAGGCAGAAAATTAACAACACGATTACAAGAGCACAAAAGAGCATGCAAAAGACACTATGCATCTTCGCTAGTCTCAGCACACGTGGATGAAAAAGAACACAGCTTTGATTGGGCCAAAACAGAAGTCCTGGCACGAGGCGAAACAAGAAGAGCAAGGGAATTCCTGGAAGCGTGGTTCTCAACACAAGACTCGATCAACATGCATATCGAGATTGACCCAGTTTACCAACCCCTCCGACGGAGAGAACTTAGGGAAATTATGAGACGCCGCTTGAATAGGAACAACCCAAGCGACGACCTCCGCCACGGGGAAATGGGTAGAGATCACGGGACACAGATCGAAGCCGTCACTTTCGAAATGTCACCTGCACGCCGATCACGGGTCGACAATTCAATCAGCGAGATTACACTCCACATCTCGACGCACTGATGATGCATGAAGAGAACAATATGTACACGTGACAGCAGATTTTGCAGCAGAGTTGCAGCAGATTCACACTTAAGTCGTGTTTTGTAAACGCAATTTCCATGACTTTGTCAGTAGCGAAGTTGAAGAGGAAAGGTGACAGCGGGCATCTTTGACTCACACCGCTGGAGATATTAAAGGGCGACGACAGCTTGCTGTAAGCCATCACTCTGCCTGAGCTACGTGCGCCAGTGTTTTTTTTACATATAATGATGGGATAATATTTACATATTTCTTAGGTACACTTCCTGAGTAGACAGTCCCAAAGTGCACGTCTATCCACCAAATCGAAGGCACCTTTGATATCGAGGAACACGACAACGGCGGGCCGCATTTTAACTGGGTAGGTTGGACCAGACTTGAGCTGGCTATTTAGTCCGGCTAGGTTGCCTTGTCTTCGCTGTTTCCCATGAAGCTATACAAACCGCGTTCCAACCGGATTAGGACGAAAACTCGGGTATCGCGCAGAGTTATCTAGCACAGGAACTCGCTCCCAGAAAGTGTAGTCAGTGTGAAACTACGGCCAAGGGTTTTGAACGCCGGTTAGACGCTCTTGGGTGACAATACGAAAGCTTTCCCTTCTTGTGACTCTATCTTCAAATTTAGATGGGACTAAAAGGATAGGAAAATCCATCGAGTGTTCCTTCTTGAGCGGATTGAGGAACCAGAAAATGATAAGGTGTTTCAAGGTCTTGATGAATGTAAAACGAGACAACCGAACCACATCCTAATCAACCAATTACTGTTCATGTTTCCTGCACTAGCACTAGCCGCTGCACCGGGCACGTGAAGAAAAATGTAAGAAAGACAGAAGATGGAAAGCCATTAAAATGAATGATAATACCAAAGTCCGGAGAGGCACAGAATATAGTACGAAGTACACAAGCCTTGTCAAAGTCCCCATCGGCCCGCATCAAATTGGGATCGCCGAATTTGAACCACAGTGCCACTTAACATAAGCGAAGTTCTTCGGTTTGTGATAAATCGGAATACTTGTAGCTCGGGCTGAATATTCTGGTTTGCGTTCGTTCTCCGAGCTGAAGAATTGTGCTGCAGACGTTTCGTCACCAGCCGATGTGACATTCTCAGTGCCTCGCTGCTTAGCGTGCAGCTCGTTGAGTGCGTCGTCGGCTCTTGACTGATGGGCGACGTTTGAAATTGGCCTCTTCGCTTCAGATCATATGACCTTCAATGGTTTGTTTTTGCACCGCCGCTGCTTCCTGCTTATGTTAGGATTTCCAACCCATCCAAGTTCTTTCTTTCTCAATGGTTGGTACATTGGGTTTAGGTCTATGCACAGGTTAATGAGTGTTCTGTAGTAAACTACACTTTAATCAATTACCTGCATTATCTTGTTTCTTACTGCGCGAGAATTTCGGTTTTGTCCTAACCAAACCTGTGGCCACATCAACATGTGCCGAGACCAGAAATGATGCGTAGTGGTTACGGCAAGCTCGCTTGTGCTCTTGTATACTTGTAACCAATTTCCTCCCTGTTTGGCCCAGATAGTGTTTGCATTGTATCCTGTAAACGACATTACTGCGTTCGTGTAGCTTCAATTTATCTTTCGGTTTAGATAAGGTCCTCTGAAATGTGGCATTTGGTATGTGGGCAACCATCAGATGATACGGTTTGAGAAATCTGGCCGTCATTTCATACGTTCTTGACATAAGGCAAAGCGATCCATTTCCTCGTTGTTTGTTCAGGCGTAGTATTTTCAATCCTGCAGTTCAAGTGTCTTCGGATGAAACTGCGCGAGCATCCATTGCGCATGAAGGAGGTAAACAGATGTTTCTCTTCCTCTCGCTTTGCTTCCTCAGTATTGCAGTGTGACTCAATCCTGCCTTTCTTGGACGTGCTTGTTACCAGAACAATAGACGGAGAAATACAAATATCGATTTACAGGAAGGGCATTCACACAGATAAAATCCTAAATTTCAATAGCAATCATCCAAATTGTCAACAAATAAGCTGCATACGAACCCTATTTCGCAGATTTGAGTCACACTGCAATACTGAGGAAACAAAGAAAGGGGAAGAGAAACATCAGTTTACCTCCTTCATGCGTGAGGTATACCCGCGCAGTTGCATCATCATCAACACAGTACATCAGCCATTTGAACCGATGCTTCACTGCTATACAACCATGAGGACCTATGAAATGAAGAATAAGGAGAGGGAAAGAAGGGGGGATGCAATGAACACGGATTATTCCAGGAATGAAGGAAGAAGACAAAAGCCGATAAGGAGGCTTTACTCGACTAACAATTCGGACGTATGAGCTATAAAAACAGAAACATGTATTAGAACGGTAAATATGCCAAAGCATGGAATACGGCAAAATCAAAAACACAACATTCTCACTCGCTAGGAAATCGTTGCTGAGTAGTTGATGACGTTTATAAAGATGAGTTCGGCGCAGAGCGGTCCGTGTTAGGAAGGGAAATTGAATAAGAATAACATGCGGGATGCGAATGAAAGAGCTGTCCAAAAAAGCGACGTATAATAAACGAAGAGCAGGATCAAGCTTCACGATTTCTTAGATTGTACGGTCGGGTTCGTTGTTGTTGTTGTAGCAGAGTAGTCTCTCTTCTAGTAGTAGTATCATTAGGAGATGGGTCGGGAGTTGCCGGCAGAGTAGTAGTAGGAACCATAGCATCCGGTGCATTTAGCACGTGGGGCGTCAGAGGGACATCGCTGTCATCGGGAATCCTGCCAGTAGCAGGAGCCAAGTGGCGAGTAGAAACCGTCTCCTCTCTGCCATCGGGAAGTCGGACAAAAGCATAATCTGGGTTGCAATCAAGTAGCTCAACTTCTTCAACCAATGGTTCATATTTCGATTGACGTGAAGCACGCTTCATGAGTACCCGACCAGACTCGGATAGCCACGTAGGAAGGGATGTGCCAGTAGTTGACTTTCGGTTGGATCGAAATAAGCGCTCGTGTGGAGTTTCGTTGGTGGCTGTGCACAGCAACGATCGGATAGAGTGAAGAGCATCTAAGAGGACCGACTCCCACTGTCCGATATCCAGGTTTTTTGAAGATAGTGAAAGCGTAATGGCGCGCCATAAAGTTCCATTGAGACGCTCAACCTGCCCATTGCCTTGCGGATTATAAGCGGTAGTCCTACTGGTGGATATTCCTTTATCGTGCAGAAACTTTCTTACTTCTTCGGACATAAAAGAAGGACCGCGGTCGGAGTGTATATAAGATGGCATTCCGAACAAAGCAAACAGCTAAGTGAGACATCCGATCACTGTTGCAGAAGTCATATCAGAGCAGGCAAACGCGAAGGGAAACCGAGAGTATTCGTCAATCACAGTCAGGAGATACTTGTTTCTTGACGTAGATGGAAGTAGTCCTTTGAAATCAATGCTCAACCGTTCAAACGGTTGTGTAGCTTTAACGAGTCGACCAACAGGGGGTCTATAGAACCTAGGTTTGATTTCGGCGCAAGCTTTGCATTGAGGTCATCATCCTGACATCGTCTAAGGAAAATGGAAGGTTACGAGAACGGATAAAATGCATCATACGAGAAACACCAGGGTGGCACATTGACTTGTGTAGTTCGTTAAGTTCCGTACCACTCAGAGACGCTGAACAATGAATTCTGGAGAGCGTGTCAGCTGCCATATTTCCGCTTCCCGGTCTATACATTACATCGAACCGATAACTTGATAGTTCCAAACGCCAACGCTGGATTTTATCATTCCTTATTTTTCCTTTGTTATTGTCACCGTACATGAATCGCTGGTACTGATCGCTGGTCAGTTACTGTCGTAAATGGATTGCCAAGGAGGAAATGACTCCATTTTCGCACTGCTTCGACTACAGCGCAGGCCTCTTTTTCGACGGCGGAGTGGTGTTTTTTGCTGTGAGATAGCGTTCGGGAGAAGAATGCTACTGGTCTGCCATTTTGATTCAAGGTAGCGGCGATTGCAATGTCAGATGCATCTGTTTCGACTACCAATGGTACACCGGGTGTGATAGTCACGACTGTAGATCGTTCTAATTCTTTTTTGAGTTGTTCGAAACAGTTCGTTACCGGTTCGGGCAGCGGGAAATTTTCATTGTGAATCAATAGATAGATTTTATTGGAAAATTTTGGAATCCATTTCGAATAATATGCAAACAACCCTACTAGGCGCTGTTGTGACTTGGAATCATGCGGTGGCATCAACTCGGCCAAAGGTCGTAGTCGCTCCGGGTCAGGTTTGATAATGCCCTTGGATATTTCGTAACCGAACAAGGTGATTTTATTAACAACAAAAATGTTTTTTGTGCCGTTAAAAGTGATGCCGCAATTTTTGGCTACCGTCAGGAAGTGTTTAAGATTTGCATCATGTTCCTCTTTGCTTCTACCGCACATCGTAACGTTGTCAACATATGCAAAGGTATCTGCAACTCCTTCCCGTTCCAGAAAACTGTCGATGGCACGTTGAAAGCAGGCGACGCCGTTGGTAACACCGAAGGGAATACGGCAAAACTCGTAAAGTTTTCCACCAGCTTCAAAGGCAGTGTATTTACGTTCTCCCTCGTTGATTGGTATTTGATGGTAAGCACTCTTCAAATCTAGAGTATTATACACATCGAAACGAGCGATTTTATCGATGAGGTCATCGATCCTTGGAAGCGGGTAGGCATCAAGATAGGTAAATCGATTGATAGTTTGGCTATAATCCACAACCATACGCTTCTTATGTCCGCTCGTAGTTACTAACACTTGCGCTCGCCACGGCGACCTCGAAGGCTGGATAATGCCATCTGCCAGAAGTCTTTTGATTTCAGATTGGATGAAAGTTTCATCGGATTCGCTATGGCGTCTAGATTTTGTAACAATCGGCTGGCAATTTGGAGCAAGGTGCTCAAACAGGGGGAACGGTTCTACACGGGCCGCCATTAGGCCACAAATAGTAAAAGGAGGTCTGGATCCATGAAACGATATCTCAATTTTACGATGATATTTGAGGAAGTTGTGACCAAGTAATACGTCAGAGCAAAGGTTAGATAAAACGGATAGTTTCACATTGGAATAATAGGTGTCTTTGTGTCGAATGGAGCAAATAATATGTCCTTGGGTGAAACTAAAATGAGTAGTGGAGGCCATAACGATGTGCTCCCGAGAGGTTTCGATATGAAATTTGTTAAGTTTTACAACTGAAGCGGAAATGTAGCTTTCAGAGCTCCCAGTATCGACAAGGGCTTGCAGCGGTATGTCATTCACAAAGATGTTAGTAACGGCACTGCAAAGACTGCCGGGCGCCGCAGCAGACGTCACAGCAGATAAAACCGACATAGAAACGTTCGAGCCGTGATTTGTGCTTGGCCTGGATTTGCAAACGCTCTGGAAATGGCCTTTTTTTGTACACTTTTTACATGTCGCATCTCTGGCGGGACATCTTGATCTAGGATGTCTGGCGTAGCCGCAAAAGAAACACGTTGACTGGGAGGACGCAGCGACAGGTTCTTTTTGAGAATATAGCTGCGGCTCAGATGGGATTTCAGTTTTCATCGTGGAGTTACAAGTCGTCAGCTGAAAGGAAGCGGCTTGTTTATGGGCCAAGTCAAGCGATCTAGCCATCTCGAAAGCGGACTGAAGATCGAGTGATTTTTGTTCCAATAATCTCTGCCTGATGATGTTAGATTGTAGACCGCTGATAAAAGCACCTCTGATAGCTTGATTCCTGTGTTCGTCGGCAGTGACTGGTAGAAAATTACAGTCACTAGAAGCGGAATTTAACTTCTGAATGAATTAGTCTAACGATTCACCGTTCTCTTGCCTGGCAGTGGCTAGGATGTGACGTGCAAAAATTTCGTTTTTGGGTTTTATGAAGATATCTTGTAGCGTTTTGACGGCATCCTCATAAGAGCACTGAAAAACCACCTCAAACAGGGCAGATGAGATATAATTCATTAACGTTTTGAGCATGTCCGGGTTCATGGACTCGATCGATTCTAAAAAAACTGTTGAAAGTGTAGATCCAATGGGCCCAGCGTTTGCCGGCATCAGAAGATTGAGGATCCACATCAAAGCGATCTGGGCGTAAGAGTCGATCCATGAGATTGTTGTATTAATCGAGTAATCGGGACTTACCTGAAAACCTTAATGCCCTAAGCAAACATTCAGGGTCAAGGCGGCTACACCTTGTGTAGACGACATACCGTCACAAACAGCCGGTTATCGTGTAAAGATAAGGCAGCATCGGGGAGAGAGCTTCCTTGCGGCTTTCACTGCCACGCGTCATAATCAGCCATTACACCGCAGATAACTCAGCACCAAACACACTTTAAACAGGCAATCCAATTAGGAGACGGCAGCAGACGCGCCACTGATGTCGGTTGCGAGCCATGTCCTGTAAAGTCTCGAGCCAAGCACAAGGCGAGTCACGTGGACTC